CTCGTCAGCCCCGAGCTGTCCTGGCCTTAATCTGGTCACCCTGAGTGATTCCCTGTGGCTCCAAGCGTGTCACGATAATTGTACGCACGCTCTGGTGACAAGAGTTCTCGAAATAACATGCCGCAGCTTTACCACATTCATGTGTGTGTACGTGTGTGTGTACGAGGCGCCAGCTTTTACCGGAAGTACCGCATACCCAAGGGCTCTGCTTTCTCTGGTTACCCATCAGCTGCCATCTCTTTAGGTTGTCCAGGAGACAAGCAGACAATATATGATCACATGCACTTACACACTCACAAAGAAACTGAAAGACAAAGAGAGGGACACAGAAAGAAAGAAAAGACCAGTGTTTGTGTGTGTCTTATTCCTGCTTTACATAAATGGACTTTGACGATAACTGTGACAACCCTCTCTCTGCTGTGTTTGTCCTCTGCGAGGTGGAGAGGACTGTTTGCTTGGACCTGCAGCATCTGGGCCGAGCCTCTCAAACATGAAGAACGACCATTTTGGTCCGCCTTCCTCTCTCTCTTTCTCCCTCGGCATTGTCCCCAACCTTCCTCCTTTGTCTCTTTGGTTTGTTACACCATACAACACCCTATACGCCAAACTCATTGCACACACAATTGTACGCCAAACTCATTGCACACACAATTGTCGCCTGTCCTATTGATACACCTCACGGTTATGTTGAATTATTCTGATGTTATTTGGGGTTCAATAAATGACCTAATGCAACTCTATTTTATTGCCAGCCTCGTTGTCGGGTGATAACACAACCATGACACCAGGAATAGCAAAGCAATATTTAACATAAACCAGAACATTTGGTGATAATATATGATTTTCCAATCATAGTCATCTCCACACTGGTATCTCTTGCTTCATGTTGACAGCAGCACATGGCATCCAAACTTGAACTCACTGTTCCCTACTGAAAGTGAAGTGTTTGAAAAGCAAACACTCGACTCTTTCTAGGTTTTAAAAGAGACGAGCTTTCCTGAACAAACATCTGAGGTTTCTAATCCTCTCTGCAGAGCAGATTCATGACAGTTTAACTAAACAAATAAATGAAGACGAGCAAGGCCTCTTGTTTTCTGTCTTTTCTTTAGACACATGCCAGATGTAATCCTTCTTTTACCACAGGAGTGGTGAGCGAAATGATTTACAACTACACTCAGGTCAGTATCTGAGATCTTTTGAAGTACATCTCAACATTTTAAATAACTTCTGAACCAACTGATTCAGTCAAAAATAGTGAGTAAACAGTAATTATGGTAGAAAGGTAGAGAGAGTTTAAAGCCATGCTTGCTTGAGCTGAACATGAATATATCCACCATGACTTGTGTGACTGCTACTGATGTTGATATTAATCAGGTATAATGTTAACCATCTTATTTAATGTGTCAGCATACTAATGTCTGCTAAATGAAATGTTGTTCGGCCAAAGTACTGGAAAAATGGAAATTTGATGATGTCACTCAAGTCAGAGGATCAAAATGATTTCTATTCATCCTCAGAGAAGCATGAGTGTCCGATTTAATTTTGTAGATTAATAATCCCCACAAGATGAAATGTCTTGACAGCTATTGCATTCATGCCCACCTCGGAAGGAATTGTAATCAGGTTGGTGATCCCTTAACTAGTTCCCTATAGACAGTGGTTCCCCGAACTTTTTCAGTTTGAGATCAAAAAGAGAAATGTGTTATCTCCTGAACTTAAAAGAATACATGATAATATCAGCAGTCGCAGTTTACATTAACAAGTAATGTTAGCTAAAAAGAAACAAACCATTTAAATGCTGGGCAACAAACAAGCTGATGTACTTTTCCATTGTCAAAACATTGTCTATTGAAAGTGTCTCCTTTGCTAAATTCTTGCCCTGAAGATGTCGGTCCAATTTGTTCATGCTTGGAAAAACAAGGCAGAAATGCAACAAAGTTCGCTGGAACAATTGATGTTGTCTTTTGGAATTTGCAAAATATTACTGTCAAGTTATTCTATGGCTAACAGCTGTGTGCATGTGCTGCATTGCAACTGGTTGCCATTGTTCTGCACCCAGCCTGGTAATTACTGACTTTTTGCCATTGCTGAGGGCGATGCGATTTATATATTCCATCAAAAACAAAAATGAACAAAAAGACAGATACGCAGACCTGGAGCAGCGTGCAGGTGCAGCAGAAGCAGTCAGTGCAGAGTCAGAGGCGGAGGAGGTGGGCGATGACAGACAAACTAATGAAAAGTAGCACTGAAATCCCTTTTCAGCAGCGGCACACTGAACGTGACTCAGCAGCCACCGAGATTTGGCAAAGTGATCGTAAAGGTGCTGAAGGTGCCAGTCAAAAGGTAAAGGTCCAGGCCAGGCTGCAGTTTAATGTGAAGCAAGAGCAGCTCAGATGAAACAGTGGACTTTTGTCAAATATATATTTAGTTTTCGCATACAACAGCATGAGGGCTGCAATCATTTGCAATTATTATTAATCTTCTGAGAATTTCATGATTAATACATACTGATTATATATAAACCAAAACCCTGAAAGGATTCAGACAACCAGAATTTTGTTTTGCTATTTTTTTGTGTGGTCGTAAAGTCATCACTTTTGCAAATAATTGCAACATAGAACCAAAATAGTATGAACCACAACACAACATCTACAGTGGATAGAAACATGAAGAAGAGTAATGATGTCAGCACCAAACTTTTTTCCAATGCCATGGCTACGTTCTCTATAGTACTGAAACAGTTTTTAGGTAAATAAACATAAATACCAAAAGCAACAACTGTTTTGTTATAAACACACTACAAATCTAATCTGAACACATGAAATGATAAAATGCATTAAAAACAGCCTCAGTCATGTAGATGGACACTCCTCCTACCCTCAGATGAATTACAGAACAGGTCCATCAGGCACTGGCCCAGGGACCCCTGACCCCTTGTGCTCCTAAGTAGGAGAGGATCTTTTACTTGTCTCATGATCCCTTGATGCCCTCACATCATTTCATTGGAGTATGTCATCCACAGTGAGCTAGAGTACGAGATAAGTACATGACGCCGCAGTGAGCGGGTGGCTCATGAAGACAAATAGAGAGCATACCCCCATGTGTATCACACTTGAAATGAACACCCATGTTGCTGTTTCCAATCAAGTGGTGTTGTGGTAAACTTCTCTGAATGTGCAGTGACTTACTCAATGCATGTTGTACAGTTCAATCTCTTACTGCTTGTATACAGCAGTAATCTAAGTGCTCTTCATCCTGCGACCCTGAGTGTATTGACAGGAGCGTGAAGGTGAGACTAAGGTGCTGAGGACTCAGATTTACAGTCCTCAACAGTGCAACCCCGTAGAGCGGACTGGCAGCTCGGCAGCTTGCCTGTACATGCCTGCTCTGCGCTGCTGTCACCACGCCTTCAGCCCTGAACAGCACAATTACCTCTGCACTCAGTGAGGTAGGCACTGCTGTTTGGCATGGCCTTGATTTGACTTATTTTGGTGAATCTGTCAACAATGTCGGTTAGGCCGTCTGCAGCGCTCAGCCGATGTAAACATGGCAGGCTGGGGTGAAACTATTATGACTATTACACATGGATTAACACAAGGAAATTAAATGCAAATACAAAAGTCAACATGCAGTCACTGTCGGCAAAGCAGACACTTCAGTCGTAAGATTCTAAGAGTAGGTGAGTGTGCAGTAACTGTACCAGCGTCAGGTATAACTCGTATCACCTGAGGAGGGTCCTCCCTGAGTGATGAGCGAGGCTTGTAAATTAGCAGAAGCCGAGAGGAATGAATGGCAGTGCAAAATGGAGTGGAGCCTGCGGAGGAATGCAGAAACCCACCTGGCCACCTCCCACAGGCTGCTGGGAGAGCAGGCACACACATGCGACCCGACCGACCGGCCCCAGGAAGAGGTGGCACTGTGCAGCTCAGCTACAGGCTCAGCGTTACCCTGCAGTCTGACTATTCCAACATCCTCCACTATGAAATTAAGGCTTTTTCTGACCATGTAGTTTGATATTATTTCTAATCTGCAGGGATATCCTTATGATATTGTCTTAAGGTCATGTAAATGTTTTGTGTTCACCTGCAGGATTTAATAACTGACTATAAACTTCTATTTTATGTAATAGTACACTAAGCATTTCAAAACTATTGTAAGACTAAGACACAGTTTTTACATGGAGTTCTTTTAGCTGACATGCAGCTGAACTATCCCAAACCTCCCTAATAATGACTGTATTAATTCTTTCTTTATTCTTTCTCTTGAAAATAACATCAGTGTTGACAAAACCATAAGATTTAGAGTTGTAGGATTGTGAAGGATGCAGGGCAGAGGTTTTATTGCTCTGGGAACTCTTCACTGTTAGTTTTCACATTTTTATTGCCATTTACAAGAACATTAGCACATTAAGTTTCACAGCCTCCACTAAACAATCTCAAATCTCTCTACTGCACCATTACTAACATTTACTGATCCGATTCCAAAGAGCATCTCCTCTCAAATGTGAGCAGAAAGATATCAGTGTGAAAGAAAAACTTAGTCACTTAACTTTATATGCTGTTTCCTGCAGGCTGCACGCGAATATTATAGTCATAATTCCACCTGCCATTATATATGATATGAATATATATATTACCTGCAGGGTGCAATGTCCTTTTTCAATGAAGGAAATTTAGCTTTAAGGAGACCTGCGCCTTTCTAAAAAGAACATGTGCTTTCTCACTTGTGTAATGGGGGATGTAGCGGTGTTGGTAAGTTATTAAGTCTGGGGGAGACAGAAAGAGACCTGCATGAGGGAGTGTGTGTGAGTGTGTTTGGATAGTTAACAATTAACCTGAGCGACCACCAAGCTGGAGGGACAGAGGAGGAGGAGGCTGTGAAGATGAGGAGGAGAAAGAGAACAGGTGAATGCTATAAGATTGGAGATGGAGAGGAGTGAGTGTGGTGCGCACTCTGAAATCAGGATCAGGGTGAGAGAGGCGGCGTGGAGTCCAACTTACAGCCAGTTACTGGCGTTGGCGGAGAGGAGCGCACAGCAGAGCATCAGGACGCACCGCAGAACACATTCCTCGGTCATCTCGAGAAGGATGGAGGGGAGGTCGATGTGAGCTGAAATAATCCCGAGGTGGACAGGGTTGGTGGAAAAGAAAGGAAAAAAGAAAAGGCGGCAGGGTCCGGAGATGTCTGTTAATCCATCATCCCGCATCCAGTGGGTCAGGCACCGGGGAGGCGCGCAGCTCCGCGATCCGTCACCCGGCTGTCCCGTCCCGCGCCCTCTGCCACTCCTCACTCAGAGGGGACAGGGTGACGGGGAAAAAAGAGGGATGCTAAAATAAAAATGATATAAGGTCAAATCTCTGGAGCCGCTCGAGCTCAATCGGACCCTTCTTCTAAACCAACCTGTGCGCTTTCTCTCTCAGCCGCGCGTAAACGTGAGCCGGGAGAGATGCGTGTGGAGGTGGACAAATCAAAGCCAATTGACCGAGCTTCCCGGTGGATCTTCTTACTCCTCCACCTCCTCCGCCTCTCTGAAGGCTTATCACTTTCTGCCGGGTCCTGCACTCCTGTCTTGTCTGCGCGCCGCGGGCTCTTCAACGCTTCCCGGACGCATACACACACACTCTGAGCGTAAATACGCACAGATCCTCCTCACACACCACCGTCCCTCGGTGTGTCTGCCTGAGGAGAGAGTGTGTGTGCTGACTTTAGTTGAGGGGCGGTCCGAGGATGTAGAGGTATGGCAGAGATGGGAGTTTTCTGGGGAGGAAGGAGGAGCTGCTAAGGTACTCTCTCTCTCTCTCTCTCTCTATGTGTGTGTGTTTGTGTGTGCGTGAGTGTGTGTGTATGTGTGCGCGTGCGTTTTAGAGGTCTCCTGGGAGGATGCAATAGCACAGCCATTCACTTATGCCCTCCCCAGCCACCGTCCACTCTCCAACACACATTACACACATAAACATACTGTCCTGCAAACACACACGCACACACACGCTTCTTGGCAGCACTTCACTCTCTCTGTCACACACTCAACCAAATATTCTGCGGTCAACAGTCTATTTAAAGCTTGGCTGCAAAATGTCTGCATTTGAAACCAGCAAATCCCAAATATGACAAATGTCAGCTCCACACTACTGATTGATGAAAACGCTGTAGGTGGATAATAAGGTGAGGCAGCCCTGCTGGCCTCATGTAACACCACTGAAGGCTCTGCGTGACTCACCTGGTCCTGGCTGAGAACATGAGCGGGCTGCAGGCTGAGAACTGTAAGATGATATTTAAAGAAATATATTTACATAACAAAAGCATTGAAATTAGGAAAAAAACATGTACTTTTTTCAACTTTGGATGATCAATGCTGCCTTGGTCCATCAGATGACTTTTTCTGCAAAACTCACAGGACATTTCAGCAGAGGGGATCCCACATTTTCCAAATATATGTCAGACTGGATTATGGGTAATTTGTAGAAAAGGGTACACAAACATGTAGAGTATTTCTGTTTCAAAGATGGCAGCCATAGTAAACATGAGCGCTGGATGAAATGATTTAAATGATCATAAGCCACAGTGGTTTAAGTGAAATGATGAGACAAGCAGATATGGGACCTTTACTTTGAAGTTCTTTAAAGGTTCAGTGTGTAGAATTTAGTGACATCTAGAGGTGAAGTTGCATGTTGCAGCTGAACACCCCTCACCTCACCCTCCCCTTTCAAACATGACAGAGAACCTGTGGGAACCTTCAGTTGTCCTAAAAACTCACACGGTTGTTGACTTTGTCCAGTTTGGATTACTGTAAAAACATGGCGGCCTCCATAGGGAGGACCTGCTCCTGATGTAAATATAAAGTATTTTAATATAAATGGCCCATTCTAGGGTAAAGAAAAACACAATTATTACAATTTAGATGAAACAGTATCACTAGGATTATTTTATATTCAATGTCTGCCAATAAATCCTTTTCACCTCAGTCTTACACACTGGACCTTTAATAGTAAAACCTGGGTCTAAGAAGTTGATAGTAATAACAAAACTGTCATAATAGTAATACTATATTAGATCTAACATATAGGAATATCAAGATTTGAATGATCCAAGGGGGGGAGTTTTGCCTCCCAACACATTTTTCGTACATATTTTTCCTACTTGTATTCATATTATTAGTGTCTATCCAGTGACTGACTCATAAGATAGAAAGAGAAGTAAATGAAAATAAACACAAATTATACCTACTAAGAAAAAAATGAGTTAGTTAATCTAATTCAAGTTGACAACGTTATCAGCCCATTAGCTTGATGGTGTATAAACATCCTCATTAATGGTTTACAATAAGCGTTAGCGGATATAAGTGTTGTACAAACAGATAAAGACTGACAATGTGGTCAAATGCTGCTTTAATAAAATTAAATATGTCTTAATTGGGGTAGTGATAATTGTCAGCAAACACTGTACATTAATAATCAGTCAATTATAACAAATGGGAACAAATAAGCCAGTAAGGTGTAAACAAAAGATCATGAAATGACAGCAACAAACATCACAGCAGTAGAATGACATATAAATCATATAAAATCAACATATTAACTTGACCAGTTTTCTAACCCCACTGACCTGCTGGTCCTCAAATCATCAAATGTTCCTCGAACCCACAGAACATTATTTGAAAGATATAATCTATTTCCAGCTCAGTTTAGGAGAAACTTATTACAATATGTTGCACAGTGACCAGAAGTTGTACATAGCATATAATACATTACGCTGTCAGACACTGTGGAATGAGACTTTCCTAACTGTAAAACTCCTTCAGAGGGAAGCAAAGAGGAGGAACTTGTATGTTAAGGACTTTGAACATGTATGTTGACATGTATATTAACATGTGACATCAGACTCAGGCACATCACACAGATGTGGAAAAGGCCAGAAAAAACGTACAGACAGGAGACTTCAGCAGCAGCCACTCTCCACACAAGTCTAAAGTGTCCATGAGTGGATGTGTGTGTGTGTGTTCATGTGTGGGTGGTGGTGGTGGTGGTGGTGGTGGTGGTGGTGGTGGTTGAGGTTTGGGTCATATGTGTGTGTGTGTATGTGTGTGTGTGTGTGTGTGTCGTCTAATCTCATTTCGCTTATTGGGTTGTGGGAGCTAAGAATACACCCTGCTGGGACGAGACGCTGCAGCCACGCCACCAGCTGTGTGCAGTGTGGCCCCTGGCTGCCACACACACACACACACTCACACAAACACACACACACACACACACACACACACACACACAGTAGCATTGAGTAACAAAGACAAGTCTTCCATCCGCTGTTCACTACTTAGATAACATCAATGTGTATTGATCCCTGTGGGAAGATTGTGCTGCAGCAGCCAAACTAAATGAGTTCAGCAGTGGAAGAAATAAAAAATTAAGCAGAATTTAAGACCAAAAGTAGAGAATCAGCTAAACACTGAAAACAGTAAGTGACAAGAGGCTCCAAAGTTCTCTCCTCTGAGCGGAAAGTCTGCAGGTTCCTCAGAAAGAGTGGAAGCTGCTGCTGGACGGCAGAGCGGGGCTGGTGTGGGAACCTGCTGACCTACATTCTCTGCTGTCAGTTCCTTCCAAACGTCTGCTCCCACTGAACCCGTCTCTGCCTTCGCCACGAGACAGATGGCACCTGCACCGAGCTCGGGGGGAATGTGCAAAACTCACAGCGCATTACAGAGCGAGCGCGAGAGCTGCCGCCGCGCAGTCTGCTGCTGTGAAGGCTGCAACATCATCTCTTCTTGCGAGTACATCCAGGTCGTTTCAACGGAGGTCGCCTGCCTCAGCTCTGCTGCTGATTGGCCAACAGAGGGGGGAAGTGAGTAAAAGAGCTTGTTGGTGAGCAGCGGGGGATTACACATTCATAAACAGCTCTTACATAACTGAGATGTTCATCATTAACATAACCTCGTGTTACAGAGCCGAGGCAGAAGCATCCATATCTGTATGAGAGAGAGAGGTGTCTCTAAAGTTTCTGTTTGGAAAACTGTCAACCTGAAAGCAGAGACATTTCCTCTGGGAAAAACAAAACTCAATTATTGACCACTTCATTGTGATGAGATGTGTTTTTTACAGTAAAGACATATGCATGATTTCTTTTTCCAGTAAAGTGAAGCTTTCCCACAACAACTTCCTCTGCACTTCAGGATATATCCACACCACTACGTTTTGGTTTTAAAACGCATCACTGGTACTACATTTACGCCTGCTGCACACTAGTCCAGAGTTTTTATACGCCTACAATGGAGAAGCTTGGAAAGGCTGCTGGCCCCATATTAGTTTGAAATCTCAAGGGTTTGGTTTCAGTCTAGACAGACAATAAACAGAGACATTTGGAAACAATGGCACACCTCTAATCACTTCTTCTTCTTCTTATCAGTCACAACTGGACCATCAGTGGTGAAGGCAAAATGTTGTTAACATTTACTGTCAGTAACAGTTCCAGCTCCAAGAAAAGAAATCCCTGCTCTTACTTTTCACCATTCTTGTTTCTCGTTAGTATTTGCTGTATGTAAGCGACTGAGGTTACATCCATACGACCACTTTCATTTGAAAAGTCAGCTACGGAAACGCCTGGCGTCCACACTACTCCGGAGCTTTAGAGCCGCTAAAATGGGTACGTTTGGAAACGCTGCTGGCTCTGTTTTCATTTTAGTCTGAAAACTCTGGGCAGCATTTTAGTCTGAATAGGCAGAAACAGACATGTTTGGAAACTATGATGTAGACACTCCCCTTGCTAACTGGGCCGTTTCAGAGCCTTCACTGATTTGTTCAAATCAATGTTGCTGACCGTGTTGTCTTTCAGCTGTTCAGTCCAGTCTCCACTTTACAAAGATGCAACTGTGTACAAGTGTAGGAGACAATATTCTATCCATCGATTCCTGTTTACACTAGCATGCTGAGTGTATGTGAGTGGTCACATGATGTGTGTTCTCAGGTGTGTTCGTATGGACGGGCATCAAAACTGAAACCGAGACCAAATGCTTGTTTGGACAGAGATCATTTTGGTTTTCAAACGCTGTTTTAATAAGCACCAGTCTTGACAGAATGAGATTGTTACAGTAATTGTGTTTAAATTGACTTTTTATAGCAGCTGTAAACTGAACTCCTGCTGTGTCCTGAAGTATCCTGAGCTGCTTGCAATTAGGATCAAATCTCATTTGCATGAATCACACAAGTGTGCATGTGTTAGTCCCATTGAGTTTGTTGAAGTGAGATCCTGCCTGTGCCACTACTGACGGTGCACACACTCGTGCACAAATTAAATCTCTCTCTCTCTCTCTCCCTCACACACACACACACACACACACACACACACACACACACACACAGACATACACGCTGTTGCCTCTGAAAGAAACCATTATCACCTATGGAGCAGACATCTGGGCTGGCTACACTCAGCATGCAGGGAGCCCACACACACGCACACACACTGAAACACACACATCGGTGTATGATGGTGTGTGAGACAGTGAGTGAGAGACATAGAGGCATGGATGGTGTGTTCTTGCTAGACACATGAAACACAGTCGGGGGGTCATGAGAGAAAAGGTCTGAGTCAGGAAGTTACCCTAACAACAACCCCCCTCATCCCCATGGCAACAGGAGCTGGCACACATGCCCAGCACAAAGGCATTCTGGGAAAGCACAGGTTTTATATTGCCC